AAATGTATTATTAACTATCCCTCTTCCTTATTTAATGTATTTTTAATTATCCCTCTTCCATTATTAAAATTTATTATCAACTATCCCTCTTCCATTAATAAAATGTACCAGTCACTATCCCTCTTCCATTAATAAAATGTACCATTCACTATCCCTCTTCCATTATCAAAATGTATTATTAACTATCCCTCTTCCATTAATAAAAATGTACCAGTCACTATCCCTCTTCCATTATAAAAATGCACCAGTCACTATCCCTCTTCCAATAATAACATGTACTTGTCTCTACCCCCCTTCCATTAATAAAAATGTACCAGTCACTATCCCTCTTCCATTAATAAAAATGTACCAGTCACTATCCCTCTTCCATTATTAAAATGCACCAGTCACTATCCCTCTTCCATTGATAAAATGTACCATTCACTATATCATTCTTCCATTAATAAAATGTACCATTCACTATATCCTTCTTCCATTAATAAAATGTACCAGTAACTATCCATCTTCCATTATTAAAATGTACTTGTCACTACCCCTCTTCCATTAATAAAAATGTACCTGTCACTATCCCTCTTCCATTATTAAAATGCACCAGTCACTATCCCTCTTCCATTGATAAAATGTACCATTCACTATATCCTTCTTCCATTAATAAAATGTACCATTCACTATATCCTTCTTCCATTTATAAAATGTACCATTCACTATATCCTTCTTACATTAATAAAATGTACCAGTTACTATCCCTCTTCCATTATTAAAATGCACCAGTCACTATCCCTCTTCCATTGATAAAATGTACCATTCACTATATCCTTCTTCCATTAATAAAATGTACCATTCACCATCCCTCTGCCATTAATAAAATGTAGTCCTACCATTAACAATCACTCTCCCATTAATAAAATGTACCATTCACTATCTCTCTTCCATTAATAAAATGTACCATTCACTATCCCTCTTCCATTATTAAAATGTACCATAAACAATCCCTCTTCCATTAACGAAATGTACCATTCACTATCCCTCTTTCATTATTAAAATGTACCATTCACTACTCCTCTTCCATTAATAAAATGTACCATTCACCATCCCTCTGCCATTAATAAAATGTAGTCCTACCATTAACAATCACTCTCCCATTAATAAAATGTACCATTCACTATCTCTCTTCCATTAATAAAATGTACCATTCACTATCCCTCTTCCATTATTAAAATGTATTATTAACTATCCCTCTTCCATTATTAAAATGCACCAGTCACTATCCCTCTTCCATTATTAAAATGCACCAGTCACTATCCCTCTTCCATTATTAAAATGTACCATAAACAATCCCTCTTCCATTAACGAAATGTACCATTCACTATCCCTCTTCCATTATTAAAATGTACCATAAACAATCCCTCTTCCATTAACGAAATGTACCATTCACTATCCCTATTCCATTATACCGCTCACTATCCCTCTGCTATCAATAAAATGTATCATTCACTATCCCTTTCCTATTCACTACCCCTCTTCCAATAATGAAATGTACCATAACCATCCCTTTCTACTTTCATAGAATGTTTGCAAGTAAAAATACAAATACATACAGTGTTCCGTACTATATAGTTTTTTTTCTCTTGACCGTCGAGAAAATCGGAAATGAATAAAATTCATTGCACGCGAAGGTAAGACTTAGTTCATATGTTCATACGAAATTGAATTGGAATTTCAATTCTTCTGTAATAAAAATGTGTCTGATATGCCTTTTTTCAGCTATTTTGTAAGTGACTGCATATTGAACGACAAAGGAGTAAAACACAAAAAAAGTTGGACAGTCACTGCTTCGGACAGCAGATCGTTGGTCTAATTAAACTTGATGTCAAACAATGTAACAGTGGTCAGCTTTGATTAACTTCTTTACCATTCAATCGCCATCTTTAATTATCTTTTTTAAAAGGACAGTTGTTTATTATAATCAATCATTTTTTCTCTCGTTATTTTCTCCGATACTATTCACCAGGTCACGTGTCAGCTTAGTTGAACCAATCACAATGGAAGTATATATTCTATAAGGTCAGAGGTTAAGAGTTATTAGCTTGCAGTAAGAGTGGTTGTATATGACATGAAGTTACATGCTAATTATACCCAGTGAAATCCAATACTCTTATCAACACGACTTTAGACATGAGGGACAAACGATGACCATTAACTGGACGCTACCATCTGGCTATAGCAGCAAACGTTCTATTAAATTGGCTCCGTCCTTAATCCAATTAATGCTTTTCCTTTCAACTCGGACGTAAAATGACCACTTCTGCTTGACGACATCATTAATTTAAAAATTGACATTTTTCAAACGATCATCAATACGCAGAGGTTTTATCTTACAGTAATTTTAAATGACTCATGGCCTTAACTGACCGGATGACCTAATAGCCCACATAACACTTGTTATCGGGGATGGTCAAATGGAGTGGTCAATTGGTCAACATGTTTACACGCAATATTGACATTAGGCGTTAGTTTAAGGTTTAAGGTGAAAGGATTGACGTGACAAAATTTCAGACGTCTACTTACGCCATTTATTCCGTCTATTCAATAAATTATTGTTCCGGGGAATAAAAAAACAATCCTAATATTGTTTATTGATATGTTTTTCAAACAAACAAAAATCGAGACAGATTTTTTTTCACCCGAGAAGTTGATTTCCTTTGTTCGATATTTTCAGTTGCTTACGCTTAAATATATGATGACACAGACACAATGTATGCTGCATCCGATCGTCTTATGGTTTCCCAATGTTATCTAGAATATATCGACCTTGGACTTTTGGTAAACCAATCTGACATAGGCCTTTCTTACAATTTGTGGGTACTTAATTTTGCGCTCACTTGTTGAAAACTTGGTTGACGTTTCATAATTGAGACACGGATGATAATATACAAACCACATGGAAGTTTAGAAAGGGCACAATGAGATAATCCAGCAAAGTCTAATCTATACTAGTCTAATGAGCTTTCGACCTTTACAACACGGAAAGTTGACTAATCAAATTTGATATATTAAAACCGGTCGAGTCTTACTGATTTACTACAATATTACAACATGTACAGATTCTCATCTCCAACCAAATCTAATTTCTTTTAGTTCAAAGGCAGTGACCACAAACACACGCAACATTTCTAAATTACTTTTTTCAAATCAACGGATGACCTTTCTTTTAATTACATGATCAAATTGCGTTTTGGCGCTTTAATTATTAACAGAAGGGGCTGAAGACATAACGCTGGAAATCTTCAGAGTAAAAGAATATATATTTATTTCTAAACAATTTCCATGATAAAAGCAGCTGCAGAAACGAAACTAATGGTCCGCAAAAAATTTGCCAAACACTAAGACTATGTACATTTCAGAAATTGAGAAACAAAACCTATGGTTATACTCTTCAAAGAAGTGTTATAATAATATTTTGCGGTCAGTGACGGAAACAGGTTTACGCCCGAGATGGGGCGTGAGGGGCGGCGAAATACCTGAGGTTGCTCGAATGTCTAACCTAGTTTTTGCCCGAAAACATGCCTTTGGGGCTGCGATTTAACTCCTCTGCCCACCTTGGCTCCACCACTGTTTGCGACTATAACATCGTAAGCTGGTTGCTGTCCAAGATAAGCATTGACCTTAAGGGAAACGGACAATCTCGTGTCCATTCAAGACAAAACGGCGTCGTAGCAGTTTGCAGTACTCACGCAGACGAGTTTGGCGCCGTACAACATTGACAGTACTTGTCTGGACATTGTGTAGACGTCGGAGTAAAAAGAACTGGATCACACGGATTGGTGTTCAGACAAGGAAAGGGAGGAGGAAGACTGTGTATTTGAGTCTAGAAAATGTAACATAGTAAAATTGTCTGTAGATTGTGGGTCAGTGTGACTTGTATTGTAGTCCACTACTACGGTCCAGTTTGTTCAGTCTGATGACTGTTTGCTGTTGGTTTACAGGTCAGTCAATGACACATTCCCAGCCAAAATAACAAGACCTTGAAAAGCGAATTTAGACCAGACGGACGTATTTTGTGGCTTGCGATACTCAATTCGTCCATGAGAGGTTCCTTTATAAATACATTCATATCATTGGCTCGAAATCAGGTTATTCAATACATGTGTGTTTGAAATGACATAGATTGAGTATTTCTGTAACAGATTTGTCAATCAAATAAACAATAAATAACTCTCCATTATTGCTATGTTTGAAATTTGAAATTTAATACAGTTGACCCCATTTGATACTGCTCTGTAAAGGAGTTTGTCGCTCCTATGCATCTCTATTTATAAGAGTAGCATATGTTTATTTTGGTATATTAATTGCAAACATAATACCTTTCTTGTCTTGTTGTCTTGCAAGTGGTTTATTTATTATATGATTGGTAAAAAGCTAGCTCACCTGAAGTCCACGACAATTTGAACCATTACAACGTTTTAGATAACAGATTTTCTAACCTAGTTCCTTCAGGGAACATCTCATTAGAATATCTAGTTATATTTTTTACAACTGATATTTCTCTATGATAAGAGATTATTGAGATCCTAGCTTGAGGCGACTACTGATGAAATTATTAGAATGGTCAATAAGATAGTAGCTAGCTAGTAGCTGTCGTGGGGGCAGATTATGATGGGGATCAGTCAAGATTGACCCGTATCCTATATCAAGGGTGGTATATGGCCTAAATACGTGCTTATACTATACGACTCTAATGATTCTATTTTCTAGCCCTAATCTTACTAAATCTTAGATACATCCAGTAATTTGATGGGAGGATTTTCATTTCCATATATTGCATTGCAAAGCATGTATCGAAACTAGTCTTGTCCTTGGCTTGCCTTGTTAATATAAGCTAAACAAAAACAAACCGAAACAACCAAGCTCTGTAGACAAACCAATGAAAGAATAAACCAATAAATACGTAACCTCAAGCTTAAGTCACAGTTTAATTCGAATTGAAAACAAATCGGATCAAAACATACAGTTGAAACATATCAGAACCAAAGAGAAAAATAACGGAAGTAACCAACATGCATATCGCGATTGAAGAATAACTGCGATTATTATGTGTTCAACGTATTCTCATAGTTTAAATTATTAAACACATAAATGATAATTTGTACAACATTAAGCAAATATATAGAACAAAATTACCAAAGTAGAATTTTCTCAAGAAATTGTCCTTCCAATTTGAAAACAAGGTTAATGGAGGTCCAAAACCAATCTAATTTTGATTTACATATTTTCTCTTCTAAATGAATGTCAATTTAATCAGGATTGGACACGAAGACACAGTGTAATGAAATTACCAGGAAGAGTTTTTTCTGTGCTTGTAGACTGTAAGTTAATCTTAGATGATTCGAGTAGGTACTCGTCTAGAATTCTAATCATTCACATACCCAATCACAATATCTCTACTAGCTGATATCTCACTTGTCCACACTGTATCCGTTTACTTATCAACTTCAATTTACTGCCCAAAGTAAATTACTTCTCGGCTGTGTCCAGAAATAATTTTATTTGCCCGTCATTAAGAGACTTCGTTCTGCGTCTAAGAGAATTTCGAAGCACGAAATGTGTCACTTTTCGTTCAGAAAGACTTTTACTGTTTGAGTTAATTCAACGACATGCGAACTGTCCAGGAAATAATTATTTTATCAGGGTTCAGATCGTTACACCTGAATTTCGTTAAGAGTTGCGCTGTGTATTAAACTGATCTTGTCAAATTGTGCGACCAAATCATCATAACATGCTAAGATCGTAAACTGTATTTCCACAATATACAATTAATTCACCCATCAGACTAGAGTGGGTACTTTTTTGTTAGTAAATTGGAAAAATGAGCGCTAAAGTAATACAGGAACAGTAATTTTCAAAGCCAAAGCGTCATAATTGTTTCTATTATTGGACCTTGTTTATTTGATTTAAGTTCTGAACTCTAAGCCATGTACACCACGAGTGATAAGTATTGTTGATTTTACACGTCTACCAATCACATCTAGTGACCAATCTTATTGTACAATACTTCACTGACCATTCATAGCACGTCTTTATCCTCTTAACGACTACAGACATGCACGCATATGAACTCCGCCCACTGTATGACCAATGGCGATCGGGTTACGCCTCCCGGTTGACCAGTCGTTCTAGATCAATAAGTAGTCACGCCTCCTACCATCTGGCGACTTGATTATCTTGTTATGGTCAGTTAGCGACAGAAAAATCAACAAAGAGGCTAATTTATTGACCATGATGCATTGTTAGAACATTTGGCGTAACCGACCTTGGCCTGGGCGGAGGTCAGCTGAGGTCAAAAGTGTTGGTCAAGCCTGATTGAGTTACTAATTGAAGACTAAAGGTTACATGAGGACAAGGGGCAGACGTCCAATTAGGAGTTAAAGGATAATAAACGGGTTAAGATGACAATATTTTTCAGTTGACATGAAGATATTGTACATCAGTTAATTAGCTGGCCATTGTCCACGGTACACATAAATAACAATAAATAAAACGTTAAACATTGATCAGAAAAGCATTTTGGCTTAATCTGACAACATTCTTAAAATTTCATTTTTGTCAAAACTTTGGAAATACAACGTAATATTTTAAAAAGCTATGGAAAAACTATGGAACGAACTTATCGCAATTACACCAAGTTCCCCATAATATATAAGGTTAAAAATTGTTCATCGATGACAGGAAAACCTACGCTGACCAAGATATTATTTGAATAGATTGTTGGTCATGTATTGATCGTGTATTTAAATAGAATTAGGTCATCTGTAAACAAATGACCAGCGTGAGTTAATGAATCGATATATTGACTAGATATTGTTAATAATGTGGTCACTTTATAAAAAATAAATGACCGATATCATTTATTGATGTCTATTAGAAATGAATTAAAGAGAACATGAGCTGTTTTAGAATCAACTTTTACACAACAAAACATTACCAACAACCAATACTAAACTGCTGAATATCTGAAAATTTTGAATATTGTAATGATGTGTGGTTATACGTGCAATTCTTCTGTTCTAGATTGGGCTAATAGCGATGGACAACAACATGCAGTGTGCCAAAAGCTTTCTTACTATCAAGGGATCTACATGGGTCTTCAGCTTATGATCTCATGTAAGAGACTAAACGTCTTTTTCCATTTCAGATCTCAAAACGTCATCAATGAATGGGGAAAATGTAGCGTTGATACTGTTCAACATCAGCAATGCATTAAACCATCAGAAAGCAGCAGTTTAAACTTAATTAAAAAAAAGTTAGTAAATTGTAAGCTTACCACTTTAAAAATTCAACGATCCACGGTTATTTGATATCATTTTTGAAACAATAAATACCCTTATTGACAGCTGAGTGTTTTTTAATTACATGAAAACTACTTTATTTTTCTAAAGAAATTGTTTACGGTCAGTGAGATTTTATTGACCAGTTGACCAATTATCAAACTATTTTTATTCTAGTATTTAAACTCCATTAGGTGAGTTTTCTTTGATATGGCCAGTTTTTGTTGTAACTATTGAATGACCTGTTTCGAAGGAGATTTATCGGGTGGTCGGTTAGGGAACTTTTGTTGAATCGATATAGGTACTATTATTTAATGGTCAATTGTAAAAGTAATAATACCTATTGGTCAGTTGTGACGCCAATGGTCAGTTGTTAGGGTAATAATACCTAATGATCAGCTGGTAATATTATTCAGTTTTGGTGAGTAAATTTATGGAATGACCAAGTCATGAGTTATATTATAACGTGCTTAGGTTAAAGGACAATATAATGGAATGGCCAGTAAGTTGTGGGGTAATATTATTGAATTTTCAGTAATAGGTGATATTATTGAATGGTCAGTAATAGGGTAATATTATTAAATGGTCAGTAATAGGTGATATTATTGAATGGTCAGTAATAGGGTAATATTATTAAATGGTCAGTAATAGGGTAATATTATTAAATGGTCAGTAATTATTGTTATGTTATTGTATGGTTGTAAGGATAATGCATGCCCCCCACCCCCTCCCTAAAACAATAAAAGCATTCTATTGGGCTAATGAAGACGGTAGATGAGTAAACATTTCACTGAAACTTTATTCAAGGATAGAGAGTTAAAGTATAATGACCTCTGAAAGTACACTTCATATCTAAACTGTCACGGATATAAATCAGTGGTAAGAAAGGACCTACATTTAAAAAAAAAACTAAGTTACAGGTGTTTTGTGAAGCTGTTAGATAAAAAATTATTACTTGGTCATTGTCGTGATTCTAAGATATTGAATTTCTTCTGCTAATCCCAACTATCAGGATATTAAATGGGTTTTTAATCCAGATTAGTCTTCGTGTGGCTCGACTTACACTGGCCATTCTTTGCAGTATAATAATACAAGATACTTTCTGAGGCACGTTCGATGTCTGTAGACAAATATCATCGAGTGTCCAAATTATGTTCAATAATGATCGATTTATTCTTTGAAATGAAAGTTTTTAAATCTTAAATAGCATTAGGTGTATAATAAACACATTCCTAAAGAAGCACTAGCCTAGGATATTCAAAATATCTCGGTCCTTGATTCGTCATCAGACTCCAAGAATTGATTTGCAGCAACATTCTGTTGGAATTGATCACACAGCCTTGCCTATGGTGTTGGTCTAGATCAGATCTTCAATTTTGATTTCACTTGTTTGTATTATTTTCATGAGATATCTTGACCCTACCTTTTTTGGGGCTGAAAAAATTAGGACTCTAACTCTAATGTCTTTGTTCATTTTCATAGCTATATTTTAAAAGATGGACGTTTGGCGAAACATCCCTTATCTTTATTGAAAAACAATATTTTCAATTTTCTAGGTCAGAAGCCAGTTTCCTCTTAGATTAAGGTTAATCTATGTTTTGTACATATTGATGGATCAGGCTATTTTAAGATTTTTAAAGAAATCAATTCATCGTCATGACTGAATGTTTTTGCTGCTGCTAATTAGTATTAACATTTTTGCAATATTTAATGTATTTTAATATTGAATATTGTTATGAAATGTATTAATTGCTGTCTGTCTAGTATAATAAAGTTTAATCATTGTTAATTATCCTAATACTTACAAGATCACGTTTGATACCTTATAAATATAACAAATTATATTACTGACTGTTATTTCAGCATATGTGCTAAAATAGTTATCTCTTCGTGCGATTAGGTCATTTTTATAGTTTCCAAACTTTGACAATTATTTGTATCTTGTTAGTTTCAAAGTCAATTTTTTTTCACAATTTAATACCTTTACATATTTTACAACAACTTACTGAACATCATTAAGTAGCAATATACGAAATTACATTTTCAACAAATTTGCAATTAAATGGGTATCAATTTATATTTAAACATGTCAATGGGTAACAATTTATATTTAAACATTTCAATGGGTAACAATTTATATTCAAACATGTCAATGGGTAACAATTTATATTCAAACATTTCAATGGGTAACAATTTATATTTAAAAATGTCAATTGGTAACAATATATATTTAAACATTTCAATGGGTAACAATTTATATTCAAACATGTCAATGGTTAACAATTTATATTCAAACATTTCAATGGGTAACAATTTATATTTAAACATGTCAATGGGTAACAATTTATATTTAAACATGTCAATGGGTATCAATTTATATTTAAACATTTCAATGGGTAACAATTGATATTTAAACATGTCAATGGGTATCAATTTATATTTAAACATTTCAATGGGTAACAATTTATATTTAAACATGTCAATGGGTAACAATTTATATTCAAACATTTCAATGGGTAACAATTTATATTCAAACATGTCAATGGGTATCAATTTATATTCAAGCATTTCAATGGGTAACAATTTATATTTGAACATGTCAATGGGCAACAATTTACAGTTGAACATTTCAATGGGTAACAATTTATATTTAAACATGTCAATGGGTAACAATTTATATTCAAACATTTCAATGGGTAACAATTTATATTCAAACATGTCAATGGGTATCAATTTATATTCAAGCATTTCAATGGGTAACAATTTATATTTGAACATGTCAATGGGCAACAATTTACAGTTGAACATTTCAATGGGTAACAATTTATATTTAAACATGTCAATGGGTAACAATTTATATTCAAACATTTCAATGGGTAACAATTTATATTCAAACATGTCAATGGGTATCAATTTATATTCAAGCATTTCAATGGGTAACAATTTATATTTGAACATGTCAATGGGCAACAATTTACAGTTGAACATTTCAATAAAACATTGTACGATTGAACATTCAAATAACCTTAAAATAGTTAACAATTTACAAATTGAGCATTTCAAAAGGTGTCAAGAAACAATTTAAAACTGAACATTTCAATAAGAAACAATTTAAAACTGAACATTTCAATAAGAAAAAATAATATTTAAATGGTTAACAATTTACAATTGAACATTTCAATAAGAAACAATCTACGTCTGAATATTTCAATAAGAAACTATTTACGACTGAACATTTCAATAAGAAACTATTTACGACTGAACATTTCAATAAGAAACAATTTACGGCTGAATATTTCAATAAGAAACAATTTACGACTGAACATTTCAATAAGAAACAATTTACGACTGAACATTTCAATAAGAAACAATTTACGGCTGAATATTTCAATAAGAAACAATCTACGTCTGAATATTTCAATAAGAAACAATTTACGACTGAACATTTCAATAAGAAACAATTTACGACTGAATATTTCAATAAGAAACAATTTACGACTGAACATTTCAATAAGAAACAATTTACGGCTGAATATTTCAATAAGAAACTATTTACGACTGAACATTTCAATAAGACACAATTTACCACTGAACATTTCAATAAGAAACAATTTACGACTGAACATTTCAATAAGAAACTATTTACGACTGAACATTTCAATAAGAAACAATTTACGACTGAACATTTCAATAAGAAACAATTTACGACTGAACATTTCAATAAGAAACTATTTACGACTGAACATTTCAATAAGAAACAATCTACGTCTGAATATTTCAATAAGAAACAATTTACGACTGAACATTTCAATAAGAAACTATTTACGACTGAACATTTCAATAAGAAACAATTTACGACTGAACATTTCAATAAGAAACTATTTACGACTGAACATTTCAATAAGAAACAATCTACGTCTGAACATTTCAATAAGAAACTATTTACGACTGAATATTTCAATAAGAAACAATTTACGACTGAACATTTCAATAAGAAACAATTTCACCTGAACATTTCAATAAGAAACTATTTACGACTGAACATTTCAATACGAAACAATCTACGTCTGAACATTTCAATAAGAAACTATTTACGACTGAATATTTCAATAAAAAACAATTTACGACTGAACATTTCAATAAGAAACAATTTACGACTGAATATTTCAATAAGAAACAATTTACGACTGAACATTTCAATAAGAAACTATTTACGACTGAACATTTCAATAAGAAACAATTTACGGCTGAATATTTCAATAAGAAACAATTTACGACTGAACATTTCAATGAGAAACAATTTACGGATGAATATTTCAATAAGAAACAATTTACGAATGAACATTTCAATAAGAAACAATTTACGACTGAACTTTTCAATAAGACACAATTTACCACTGAACATTTCAATAAGAAACAATTTACGACTGAATATTTCAATAAGAAACTATTTACGACTGAACATTTCATGAAGAAACAATTTACGACTATATATTTTAATAAGAAACAATTTACCACTGAACATTTCATAAGAAACAATTTACGACTGAACATTTCAATAAGAAACTATTTACGACTGAACATTTCAATAAGAAACAATTTACGACTGAATATTTCAATAAGAAACAATTTACCACTGAACATTTCATGAAGAAAAAAAACACATTCTGCAATTGGACATCTTAATAATATTTTAATGGTTAACAATTTACAATTGAACATTTCAATAAGACACAATATAGACCTGGATAATTTTAAGGGCATAGAAAATGAAACAAATACAAACACTAAACATGCCACACATGGCTGGTTGAAATAAAGTTTTTAAATGAATGAATTTTCAATCATTGCTTCTGCTTTCGCGAAGTTCTACCTAAGCTGCATTGACCAATCAAATCGTTAAATTTCTTTAAAAATTTTGAAACCTGCTTTCTAGCATTGCTCTAGTAGTTGTTAAAAAATTGTCCTCTTTTAAATAAAAACAAGCCGCTTTCTGTTAATGACCTATTTGAAAAAGAATTTTAAAAATAGAATACATTTTTTTTGTTGAAAAATGTGATCGTTATTAAATGTATTATCTTACACGATCGTTTAATTCTCTTATTTCTGTGTTTAATGAACAAAATTTGAGAAAACACAGAATCCTGTCTGTAATCAAATATATCATTAATGTTTTCAATCTTTTTTCATCTTTTTTAGAGTTGAACTTGCATGTAAATTATTAATACTTTTGCTTATCTCTAAAACTTAGTACTCAATAATAAATGAAAAAAAAAGTCAATGAAATGTGCCATTATGCACAAGAGAAGGAAAGGAATTTATAATAAATTGGTAAGTTTAGACAAAGATGTAAAATATACAAAAAGGCCCTTTTTAACATTAAGAATGTGAAATAGATTTATTTTGCATAAAAAATCAAACCACAGAAAACATATGGATAGTAGATCTCTTGACGACGAAAGGAAAAAAAATGCTTACAATAGGCTATGTACAAAGATCTCGCATTATCAAGACGAAGAGTCATCGAAAGCAATTCTCACTTTATATTCTGATGGCAGACTAAACTCATCTAGAATTCAGTTCCTGGGCAATTATTAAATCTATAGGAATACGGAAAATTTCTCGATGCCCCTCTCTGCATTTAACGTTAATGACGTATGTGTAGCACAGAAAAGGGGAGAGAGTTAGTCGTCAGTAACAATTGACGTATTGAGTACTTTTAAAGAGCAAGATTTGAAATTAATAAAATAAAAGGCTATATAACCATTATGATATATTTATAAAGCCAGCTGTGAAATAAATGAAGCACTAAAGCATACTTTTTATATTGCTGACACCTCAGGCTGTTCGCGAGATAAAATAAAAAATTAGTATATAATGTATATTAGTGGGTTAAGCCAACAGAGCGTTTCCGATAGTACAAGAATATGTCAAGAGTAAGGACTATATGAATATGAATATGATGTTATAAAGACCAAAATCCTAGAAATTTCATCATAAAACCCCAGGTTGGACATTGTAAAATATCGTTTGCAGGGCGAAATATCTGGTTTCGCACACCGGCACAGCTTTTTTTGGTACAAAATGAAAATGAGCATTTCATACACTGACAAATGATAATTTTTTCTTAACAATTCTATACGGTGAAAGTAAGGCAAAACGTTTCCATGATGGATTTTGTATTGTGCTCAACCGACTGATGCGACGAAAATAAAATTTAACGATATGATTGCAGACGATCTCACTTAGATGACATGTTATTGTGTAGACTTTAGCCTAAGGATATGGTATTTTTCAGGTAACATCTTGTGGCATACAATGGATAAAATTTATATAAATTTATGGTACGTTTTTGCTATATTTATTTATAACACATAAATAAGTAAAAACTACAACCACGTCGTTGCTTCCGAATACTTTGAGGTCAAGGATACGATCATGTGACAATATCGCACTCAAAGTATCATTTAAAGCATTTTTGCACTTTTTTGCATTCCAGTTTTAAGATCTGAAGAGACTAGGTACAACGTGAAGTGTGGGTTTGCGATTCAGTAGAAAATAGTAGAAATGGTTCGCATCATACCCGGAAACGTACCTCGTGGATTTGCTGCTTCCATTTTTGACCGTAACGATAATCCTGCAACGTACACCACGTCAACCACCGTAACGCCTCTATTCGTCCCTCACTACATATACATGTATATATGAAAAGTGATCGTTGTAGTTTCTTTATTATTTGTATTTTTAAAGGGTACTTATATTTGATTTAGCCCAAAAGCGATTTATCATATATCTCCATTCCCCAAAGGCTGCTATTATACATTAAGGTCATTGACGAAATTAAGATACTGGAAAAGGGTAAATCTTTCAGATAATCCGATAATCCTGCGGTAAATAAGGGAAATCAATGATGATATGATGATATTAGGAAATCAGGCAAAACTTATAAAATCAACCATGACTTTTGTGACTGTTCGCGCAGAAACAATCTTAAAGAGACAGAATATGCAAAATATCAAATTTTATGAATCCGATTAGTCGAGAATTAATCAGTCGACCAATCGAATTAGTATATTATGGTCGAAATTATAGGTCTGCTAACTATAAAGGACATCTTCACAATGGAGAGGGTACTTCGTCTGATACCTTGACTGCAATAACCACCTTCCTTGTATTACGAAATACAGCGATTTGAATGGATTGTAGGCCATTAGATAACGCCAATCTTCGCCTCTACGAACATACTGTAACCATTAAGACTTATTGATTACATACTCTCTGTCGAGGACCCTGATTGACCATAGTCGCAAGCGTGCGATCAAATCGCTGCATTTACTTACTTGACACAAGAAAGGTGTCCATTGTAGTATAAGACGTTCGTAATAACTTTACCATTATGAACTTGTAAAAGTGATACAGGTTAAATATTTATTCACGGCCCCACAGAGCTTAGTATATTTCTTCAGGATAGATATAACTTTTTTTTATTAAATATATATCGTTGTTTTGTGAGACTGTCTTCTCGATTTACCTGTCAAGGCCTATAAACATTGGGCAATTCTACTTGCAAACAATCCCTGAATAGACCGGGCTGTATTTTATTGAGGAATTAATGAGAACTATTCATTTTTGCCTGCCAAATATAGTTGATTGACATCTATTAATGGACCAACGGAAACTCCCAATCATGGTTCTGATCTGATTACCAACACGATATTGGTCAAACTGATCTTTAAGAAGGGTGTTCGGCAAATTATTGGTTACATAATCAAAGTGTTCATTACAATGCAAAGTTAGTTTACTTGTTATTTCAATGCAACCTGCATTTCTCAAAAAACGGCAAATTTTACTTCGGATTAGACAAATGTGCTGATGTGGTTAGCTATGAACTTACTTTAACACGTTTTTAATCTTTTAATAAATCTAGA